GTTGGTCGTCTTATTTACCTGGCAGTTACTCGTCCAGAGCTTTCATACAGGGTTCATACCTTGGCACAGTTTATGCATCGTCCTATGTAGGCTCACTAGGATGTTGCTCTTCGGGTTGTCCGATACTTGAAAGGGAATCCGGGTCAAGAGATTCTACTTTGCGCTGATAGTGACTTACAGTTGTATACTTGGTGTGACTCTGATGGGACAAGTTGTCATATCACGCGTCGTTCCCTTACATGTTGGTTTGTTCAGTTGGGAACCTCTCCTATCTCTTGGTGTACGAAGAAGCAGCATACTGTGGCACGTTCTTCTGTTGAGGCTGAGTATCGTGCCATGGCTACTACTACTTGTGAATTAAAATAGTTGAAGGGTTTGTTGCACAGTCTTGGTGTTATTCATTCTCAGCCCATGCGTTTTCATTGCGATAGTTAAGCTGCTTTGCATATTGCTGCTAACCCTGTTTTTCATGAGCGTACTAAACATATTAAGGTTGATTGTCATTTTATCCGGAATGTCCTTTTGTAAGGAGTCATATCTGCCTCTTATGTTTCTATCGGGAACAGTTAGCTGATATCTTTACCAAAGCTTTGGGTAAGCGCCAGTTTGATTATTTTCTTGGCAAGTTGGATATTTGGAATCCCCATGCTCCAACTTAAGGGAGGTGTTAGCGTATTGTAAATATATATTGTAACTTTAATGTTGTATATTTACTTAGTTACCATTGTAACAAACCCTAACCCTTAATACATATCTATAAAAAGGTTTGCGTTGCCATATTCAGGGTAACTTCGGCCGTCCAAACTTGTGCCGTTGTCTTGTATTTTCTCAAGGGACCGCCGAAGCACTATAGTGGGTACACAAAACAGGATATATATCCAAATGAATCTGATGGGGTTACTTGTCAACAGTTCTCCCCATCCACAAAATGGCGCGAAATGATAGAATTCCCGGATTTTATACTTTTTCCGTTCTACATTTTGATTATTAACCTTAGTTTTAATTTGAATTTAACCAAATAAATTATTAGATAAAATGGAAGGAGTATTTCTTTTACCAAAGTATAAATTGGAGGACCATCCGATCAATGTCTTGTGGTTGCTCTTTCAATTGTATTTTCTCGGTCTCATTAAATTTAATAATTAACTTTTATATATTGCATATTAATTTGCATCGACATATTCTAGAATTTAGATTGATTTTGTCAAAAATTGAACGAGTGAGCTCTCACCCGCCACACCCCCACCTAACCTCCCATCGATCCCATAACATCATCATATACAGTTGATACTCATTTCAACTTTATTTGAACGTCATAAATTGGAATTAAAATTATTTTTAATTTGCGCATTATAAATAAGAAGATTGTGGGGAAGTAGCATATAGTAGTAATTTGCTGACACCAAAAAACCACCAACTGCTAGTATATCAGCTCACGTATGGCTTATATAATTAACGAAAGATTTTATTTAGTTATGATGTTTTAATTTGCACTCCCGGCGGTAGAGGATCTTATGCCGTTGGGGGCAAAAAATAATCAAACCAGAAATTTCAATAATTTGGTTCATCCTGATTCATGGATTGTAAGATACAACTACAAGCTGTACTAAGTAGTCGCCGGCGAGATAATCTCATTTCATCAAGTTTGAGGTAATAATACGAGTACTTTTCTTTCTTTTCTTTTTTTTGATATTTTACATATTTGGTGTCCGAAATTATTCCTCAAACTATTCCGGATTTAAATCGATAGATTTTTTTGGGACATCAAAATTCTCCCAACATGTAGTCCAATTTTACTAACAGTATCATTCGCATGGAAGGTAATCAAACATTAGACGTCATTCATTGTAATTACTGACTATTAAGTTTCTTTCGACTAATAGACATTTAATTTATCATAAATTTTATTTAGTATATTTTTCTAATTAAAAAATAAAATCTTAAAAATGTATCTTTATATTTATTATTTTCATATTTTTATATTTATCCAATAATCATTAAAAATTCATTTCTTCTTGCATTGATCTCTATATACATTGTATTTATCTCTACTGATGATCAACTGGTTTAAACGAGTATCGTATCAAAATCTTTACTCTAAAAGCAAATAATACTTGTTTGTCCCACCAATATAATTCACATTACCATTTGTGATTTGTATTATTTTTAGTACAAATTATAAACTATAATTAATGTGCACTAATTTTTAAGGGCATATAGAGTATATCTTTTCTTAGAAAATGTTTGAAGTGGTTAATAGAATCTCTTCATTTCTTTTTTCTTTTTTTCCTAACTTTGTCTCCTTTCGGGTAATTGCAACGTAATTACAGGTAGAAAAGTCATGCTATAATAATATAGCTATAAAACTTGAGGGAACATAAAAAAGATATAACCCCGATTGATATCAAGTGTCACTTTTAGTAATGTCATCGGCGCACAAATTATACACACACCAAATTCTTTGAAACGTAATTTTTCGAATAGTAGTTGAAAGTGGTTATGATCATGATTATAACACACCAAATTAGGGTAAAGTGGGAAGCCATCTTTTCATTTATATGCTTTGCATAGTCATTCCAATTAGAGGAGACATATTTATGTTTTGCACGATATTTTGAAGACTCGATTCTCTTTTCTACGTCGCTTGATTGCGAAATATCATGAGCCGTAGCATACGCGTGATTTTCTTTTTTTTGTGAGTTTCATTTGCGATGGCCTTTGGAAGAGTTTATGCATTAAGCAGCTAGGCAATCCTTCTAATTATATTTACTTTATTACTGAAAATGCAAACAATTTTCTCAAACATGGACAAAATAAAGGTGAAACGTGTCGGAGGAGATACATCATAATGCTTGTAGTCCAAAAATAATTGTTCAGATTAGATTGTCATTTTTATTATAAATTATATTAAAAATAAAAAATTTAAAATTCGATAAGAATTTTGAGAAAGAGAGAGTAACAATTAAAAAAAAAGTTCATAAAAGTTAAAAGTAACATTTGTATTTGTGTTGAACATTTTCTCAAATATTACATACATTTCCCAAAGTTTTTTTGTCACAAATGTTCTCGATGCATTTTATAGTTGTGGCACATCCCATCAGAGTTAACAAAGACTTGTGAAATTTGTGGTGACATTTTTTCCTTCAACTCATATTTTATACTCGTAATGTTTTTAGTTATTTTAGTAAATCTCTTTTTTTTTTTCCGTGAAATTCTTGGTTTGGTTAGATGTAGAATTATTCTTGCACTTTGTCGGGGAGACAGGGTGAAAATATTTCACCTAGCTGAATGGAAAATTCCAGGTCCAGGGTGCGGAGAGAACGGACAAAGCCACGTGGTGAGTACGTGGCAGAGTAAAATCATCATTTTCTGCTTGATTTACTGCCTCTTTTTTTGGTCTTTTTTTTTTCTTTTTCTTTTTTATTATAGATAGATGAAGAAAGGGAAAGTAGCAGTAATGTGGTAGTTTTTTCAGGTGACATATTTGATGGAACTGATCAGATTAGATGCATGCTTCCCCCTGCTGCCCCCCTCTTTTGTGCTTTACGTGCGATAAATATCTTTTTCCCTCTGTTTTGACTTTGTCAAACAAAACACTTGTTTTTGTCCACTTATTTTAGCCTTACGACAAACCAATGTGCGAAACTTGAGAGCTCCTATATAATTGTGTCTATACGTTTAGATACTTCTAGTGAGGCTGATGAATGAATACAGTAAAAATTTATAATGGGATTTCCGATCATTTATAATGTATGTTTGCATTTGTGTGTGTTAAAAGATAAAAAGACATGATCACCTTTTTATGATAAATTTTTATTTTATTTTATTTTACTTAGTTTCCTGTCTAATTTTACTAAATAACGTCACATTTTAATATCGATAGCATTCTGTTATTAGCAATAAAAAATACAAGTCCTTCAATATACTAAAAAGATTTATAAATATTTTTATTTTATTCTTTAAAAGCTTTTAGGATTGTTGTAAGATCAGTAATAAGTGGCTGCTTTCTTGGAAAATTAATACTCCTAATTCTTAGTTCCTTAAGGAGAAAAAAATTAAAAAAAAAAAAACAAAAGAACGCCAAAAGAATATGGTGCGAACTGCGAAGGAAGTTTGCAGATGAAGAAGAAGTATTGAGGAGAAAGGCTGGAGCCTGGAGGCCTTACATGGTGGATTGTGGTTATTTGCTCCCATCTTAATCATCAACGTAAAAGTAATGATGTCTCTGTGGCTCATTTATAGTATATATAATTGGATTGGCATTTCGAATTGGCAGTCTACTACATCTCCAGTTCAATCTCTATTTCTCAAATGTGGAAAATTCCTCTGAGATTCGTCCACTTTTCTTTGCAATTCAATAAAGTTGGTGTAGATTGCCAAAGGCCTAGTCTTTGCTCCATCCTGAAGGCAGAATGGAACTAATAAAATCCATGTCCCCTGGTTATGGATTCATATTCATCTTGTGAATTATTTACATTTTCAATTTTCATACCCGAACCGTTCCATTCCATTTTAAAAAATACAGTTTATCGTATTGTCTTAGTTCAATTAAAAAAGCTATTGAATGGTACCGAAGGAGTAATATCATTAATGAAATAAGCCGAAAAAATGTGAACATGTTAAAGATCCTACAGAATTGAATCAGGCGTTCATGATCCTATTGAATTGATTTGGTTAGGCAATTAAATGTAAAGGACAAGAGAACTAAAAATATTCTGTAACTAACGGATGAGGAGGACATAAAAGGTCAAAAAATAAATCTAACGAACCAAGGAAAATTGAAGACAATTTAATTTTTAAAAAACAAATTTTCCCCCCGTCAAATGTAGTTCGGCATCAATAGTGAAGCCCTTAACTTTCTACATTGTGGATCAACTATTTGCATTGGCCCAGCCCACACTTGAACACTTATAAAAAGGCAGGATTAGAGGAATAACAGGATTAGCTTCCTCTTTAACTGAAAATCAATTTGAAAAAGAAATTAAAAAATTGGGAGAGCTATGGCGGGAAGCGAATCACAGAAGCAACTGTTTTCTCTCATTCGAGACTTTGCTTCCGAGAAATCTCATGGCGGTAAGTTCATTAGAGGATTATCATTTCATTTCGAGGTTTTTCCAGTTGGAAATTTTTTTTCTAAGCTGATTTCTCTTTTTGGTAACATTTGAGTGAGTGTTCGTGCAATTTTGAGATTATAAAAGGATGATTGATTGTTCCGTATCTAAATCTAAGATTATTCTCGATGCTGAATCTGCTTCGCATTTTGTAGAACGGAAAATTATCAACCTGAAGAACCGGATTGAGGAACTGAGATCGGAACTTCGTGAGGCGAATGAGGAGCTTGAAGATGCTAAGGTGCGGAAGGAATCAACGGAACAAGAGCTTAAAGGCTACGAAGTTGAATTAACTATGAACCAGGCTTCCATTCAAACCCTAGAGGTACCTTCTTCTTTTTTCTTTTTTTTTTTTTCTTTTTTGGCTTTATAAAGGAGTAATTCAGCCTGATTATAGAACTATTTGAATTTTCCCAGTCAAATTGAAACGTAGGTTTTGTTGAATGTAATGTTAGGCAAGGATTGTTGCTGTTCAAGATGAGATATCTGAGGTCGGGTCTGATGTAGAGAAACTGAAAGTATGCATTCTATCTTGGCTGAAATTCTGGTTTTTGATATGAGTGTCTTTACATTGAGATGATTATGCCTGTTTGTTTGTGTATCTGACGTTTGTGAATTTGCTTGACTGAGAATTTTCGAAGAACGAAGGTGGAGCTTATAGGTACATGTTACTCCTTTTTTACCTGTCGTGTGACTTTTGTGCTTTTCAGGTTCCAATAATGATTTTTCCTCGGTCCTAACTTTATGCCATTGCCTTTATAGAGATGATTTTATCAAGAAAATGATGGAGTTTAATGCCTGCTTAAGGTGATTACCTGAAGTTAAGATACTTGATGAATTGTTCATCCTTAATTTGCTCTGTGCATATTAGCATCCATTGGCATTAACGAGAAAACTGCAATAGCTAGAGGTCGCAGATGATTAATCTTATGTGGTGTTTTTCATTGCACATCTGTTTTGGACGCATATTTCATAATTTAAACTTTGTAAAAGTAAGCAATAAGTAAAGCAGGTGAGAAATGGCGTGCAGCTCCAGCTGTTTTTCAAATTCATCTCTACTTCGTTCATTGGAATGGACTGTAACTAATGTTCCTGAATATGGATACCAGTGCAGTTACTTTCTTTAGCTAAGTATAGTATTATGTTTTGCTACTTGCTTGTACTTTGAAATGAGAAAATAGTGCTTTATCTACTCAAATGTACCCCAAGTTTAGCAAAACTTATCACTAGCACTTTGGAGTTAAAAAATGGTCCTGGATGGCCTGTAGGATTGTGATAAGAGCTTGACAACAATTATATGCTTTAGCCATATTTTTCTTCTCTGTGTAGTGACCCTTCCAATTCTTCGTTTTCTTTGATGCAGGAATCTTCAAGGATCTGTGGCCTCTCTTACAGACTGCAATCAAGCAAAAGAAAGAACTAGTATGTATTGTGTCTGTCATGAAATGTTCATCTAAGAGGAATATGTCAGAATGTTTCCTCAATTTTGCAACTGAATCTCTGTTACCAGACAACCCAAGTGCATGACTACACGAATTTTTTTAACTAGTAGAAGTAATAACTGAATTTTTTTAACTAGTAGAAGTAATAACTTCAATTTGTCCATTTGTCTCAGGAGCCTGTGATATTAGCAGCACCAACAAAACAGAATTCGCCAGTAATGACCTCGAGAGTAAACTCGCTCAAATCATCTTTCAAACAGATTTGGTGGAACAAGAATATCAGAGGGAACTGGATGTTTATAAACTTGTAAGTCTGTTTTTGATCTTTTGAGTGGACCAATCCCATCTGTTAATAATTTATTACAGTTTGGCTATATTGTCATGAAACTCTGTAATCTCTGGGGTCTTTGCAGGCTCAGCAAGAATTAACTGATCTTGAAAGGAAAGTCTCTCTGATGGGTGAGATTTCAACAGCAAGTGCAGAGTTGAGAGAGCTGGCTAGATATCCTTCCATATATTGTTTCCTACATACTTTGTATAATTGCATTGCTTTCAGTGAACACTTAGAATAATGGAAACAAACGGAAGCATTGGGTGTTTTTTGGATTCACTCTCTCCTTTAACCTGGAATTATCCCACCTAGGAAAGCCACTATAACTGATATTAAGCAGAAAATTTCTTAAAAGAGTAGTGAACATAATTAATTTCTGCAGCCTGACAGAAGACCACATCTATGCCCAGAATAAATTTAAGCAGACTAGAACACCAATTACTGAGACTCTGATCTCCTTTCTTGTGCATATATCTGTTTAGTGTTCATTCTTCACAAGATTATTGTTTCTTTGACTCGAAACAAGCAGACTTCTGAATGCGAAAGGGTTTACGCTTCTTTGAGTAATGAGCTACAGAGGAAATTTGTGTGTCCCAGTTGCCAGCAAGACAATTCAGAGGCATTGCAGCAAGAGAATTCTGAGGCATTTTAATGGTCTTCTCCAGATAAACAGCAGAACTTAATATCTAGTAAGTTGTTTTATGTCCACAATTTTCTGTCACTTGAATGATTGGGAACATAATCTTAGATTACTTTCTCACAAGCAGTAGAGACACTAAAGTTTTCAATCTACTTGTTCACATAGTTTGCAACTGCTTTTTATTAGATGAAATCTTGTAAAGTACTTCAATTTCATCTTGGACCAGTATTACCATATTGAGCCAGTGCTTTCTCTATCCTACAGTGGTTGGTTGAAAAACCACGAATCACATGATGCATTTGTCATCAATTACAATCTAATAGCGTTTTTTTTTTTTTTTTTTTCTGTAAATCTCTCTTTTTCGTATCATGTACTTTTTACACTTCTGGGGTGAGATTCAGAGCTACACAGGACAATATCACTTTGATAGTAGATAAACACTTGCTTTGCAATGGCAATAACCATATTTTTCTTCTACGTGCTATCTTCAATAGAATAGTAGTACGTCCTGCATGAACAGTAGAAACTGTTATGCAGACGCATCATCTCTCATCTATTTGATCTGTAGTTGTATGTGATTTTTGGTGATCTTTAAGCACCCTTTCCGGTGAAGATCTTAACATCGCTTCATCATCTGCTTGTTCCTGCTCCTGCATCAGGAATATCACCTTTAAGTTTATATTCTGATTTTGTGTAACGTTTAAGTGCATTTTAGTTGGAAGAAATTCAGTATCACAGTTGAACTCACTGCTTTGCATTGAGTTCCAGCTATTAAAATTGCTTGAGTGACAAGCCTGGGATCAACGTGCTTAAAAACCTCTATCTGTGTAGAGAAAAGAGCAGAAACAGGCCTATGATCTGAAAACTTGATTTCACTGCGGAAATAGGAAAGCTGTTCTATTCCTTTGCCAAACCACAAGATCCTGTCACACCTGTTATTTTGCTTTATTAAATCAGTTTTACTGAAAAAGATATTGCCTAGTGTTTTATATAAACTAGAAAGGAAGTGAGACTCAAATGATTGGTTGCTCTTGCATAGTGAAGAGTGGGACGCAGGAAATGAATTATGTTTGCTTAGATGCAAATCCTGAAATGGGGTAGTGTACTAGAATGCTTTAGATGCTTCGATAACATAAGAAATGAATTTGACAAATTGGCCACATACCATGCTGGGGTCCGTTGCTTCTCTCCTGCTCTGTTGGGAACACCACCTGAATACCTATTAGAATTAGCTGAAGCGTATTTGTAGGTAGGTGGAAATTTTATGCTTCCCTCTTTCCATCCTTGGAATACACCGCCCTCTAGTTCCTTCTCCAACTGATCGAACTTTTGCAAGCTTTTCCAATCTTGTTTCATTATCAACTGCCTAGCTAGATTGTCATCCAGGCATAGTCTGTAATTTAGATCTCCGAACCAGAATATCCGGCTGTTCTACAACATAAAATGAACTGAAATTATTAATTACACAAGAATTTTCTGTGGAATCTGCTTTTCTATGCCTTTTACTTGAATGCTCCATATATGAAAACTATGAACTTGGTTTGTGGGGCACATAAGTTCTATTTGAAATAAAGTTTTGTCAAATTGGAATCAACCTTTTTCCTAGAATAAATTCATTATTCATCCAGCTGGACTTGAGTTGGAAAAAAATACTTACTCATGTCCTAAGATGGTCAAAGGAACAGGATGTTTCCTATCTACTGGAATTCTGGGAAATGATGTCCGACGGAAAATTTCTGCTACTTGGTAATTCCTCTTCCCTTCATCGCCTTTTTTCTCACCTGAAGCCAAGTGAGCTACAATGAAGCAAAAGCTCGTTCCTCCTATTGTAATGCTGACGGAGACTGATCCTTTGTTTCCTAACCGACCCATTATACCACAAGCCACTGAACAAATTTTCACCTCCGATATGCTGTATATCTTCAGCAACTCCCTTCTTATCCAAACACTCAAAAATACACCTACCATTTTCTTGCTTGCCAGTAACTTGTACCTGGTGTATCTATACTGTTGCCCAGTTTGCGATACATGCTGACTTCTCGTTCGACTAAAACCTCGGCTTTTGAATGAAAATTTTTTCGTAGATTCAGGAATCTCTGAATAGTTGTAATCTTCACTATTGATAGGATTTAGCATAGGTGTTAACCAAGGGCATCCGTATTTGTCATTTAGAGTTTTTCCTATGAGCTGATTCCAATTAGCAGCTTCCGTTAAGTTTTCTCCAGCTATGATAGTTCTAGGCTTCAAAGGAACAATCTCCTGAAATCTGCAGTGGACACAAACGGTCTGTGAATAATAAGAACTTGGAAGTAACTAAAAGAACTACGTTGTGATTTAAGTGCTAACCCAAGAACATATATGTCTGCTGAATCTTTAAGGTTTAGCCAGTCATCCAAATCTACAGCTAGGCTACCCACAGGAGATCGTCCCGCGACATTCCAAGTGCCAACGAAGACTCTGGATATCACATACTCCATTGTCAATACAACTAAGATTCCAAATTTTATACAGTCTCTTCATAACTCTGCTGAAACATTACCTTAATTCGCGGGTTGAAATGCATGGATCCATTTCAAGAGACCAGCCACCAAAATTATTATCTTCTTCTTCAGCAACACCTATAGATTTGGTAATTGGGTATCATAAAGATGTTAGAAACAAGAAGGTAATATGATGCCCGGGGAAGTAGACAGGAAAGGATGATCAAACCTTGGATGTCTTCTGTTAAGTCAAGTGGACCTGCTTTCTTTTTCTTTTTGGGAAACCACCACCGGAATCTCTTTCTTGTCGGATTTTTGTTCTTTTTATCCATAACTCAGAAAATAGCTGCACTCTGTAGCATGATGACAGAATTGACAGAGGCAGCTGCTGTGCGGGGTAGTCTTTGTTCTTCCAATTTGATTGTGTTTTGTTTAATGAACAAAATGCTCTGGAAGGAACCTGGTAGATTTGTTCAAACTCAAAGACGACCGCATATTAAATTCTTCTGCCAGCATCTATTGTATAAATCGCCCATTCAGAAAGATAGAATAGTTTCAGTGAAAGGGACAAGTGGAAGAAGCAAGTTTCAAATTTTAGTTAGAGCGACAATCACGAGATATATAAAGTCAATTTGTCGAAGATCCTTTGTATTTAACGGTGTGTGAATTCAGTACAACAGTAAATCTGACCTGGTCTTGTTCTTTTATAGTTTTATTATTTGGTTTGCAATTATTAGATAGTGTTTGCAAATCAATTCTTAAAAGTTTGTGTTGGGGGTGAGGAATAAACTCGCCATTACATCCCCTTCCAGTTCCTTGTCATTTTTTTTTTAATATTTGTAGAGTGATCACCATAAATAACAGCAACTAATCCCTTTCGTCGAATTGTAGGCATTTCGATAGATGATATTTTCAGTCAAAACTCACTTTAAACAGAGTTTGAGTGGTAAATTCAGACACTAAATGTGTAATATACCGAAGCAAAATATTCTTTTTCAGTCAAATCCACTCAAGACACACTCAGATTTCAGCGAGGCTTCAATAGACTACTGGGTGAATTATCAATTTTTCTTGTCTCTGTGTGTCTAACAATGTTAAAGTACGAAAAGTGGACTTTTTTTAACCATGCTTTGCAACCATTGTTTGACCTTTTCAATGTATACACGCAATCATGAACAGCGTACCGGAAGGTGGCCTGTAAGAGCTCGTTGCTTTGAATCATTAACAGCGGGGAACTAAGCCTATAAAGTACTAACCATTATTCTCCATATCCTTCAATTTAAGACATCCATTTTCAAGTAAAAATGAGGTAGAAATTGAGAAAAAAAATAAAAATAAAAAAGTCAAACACTCTCCTGTCCCAAAATAAGAAGCAAGACTTATTTTTAAGACGAGTGCAATATTTTCTAAAACATATTTTAATTACAAGGTTGAGTTCCCCTTTTAGTGTGGGTCATTTTGGTGATTCGATTGGGTTAAAAATAGCAAAATGGATAGTATTCCTTTCAGGAATGTAACGGTCAAAAGACACAGCAAAAGTAATAAACGGAAAACGTAGATGGTAGGGAACAGGAGACCCGGAGCCCGAACGTAAACGAAATGTTCAGCTAAAAGGCCTTCTTCTTTTTTTTTAAATGTATTTTCAAATATCTTTAAGAGTTACAGAAGCCTCTGAAAGTGACTCTTCTTCCTTTCTTTTTTTTTTTTTTTTTTTTGCCATTAAATTCAGAAATTAATCACAGTGGATCGGAGTTTCTTTATTGCGTCACGGGGGTGAATTATCTGTGGATATCACCATTTAATTACATGTGGAACCATGGCCACAAGAAACTATGTACCTCCGTCAAAGGGTCAATAGCAAAAGCTGTAGGAACTATATCAGGGGCATTAACGACCTGTGAGCCTGTGACAAATGATAAGTGAATTTAGTTCTCTTCAAATTTATTATTATTTTTTTTGGCTGAGGGAAGGAGGGGACTAGAAGCTGCTGGTAAAGGATATTTGTATATTATTACATTTATACAGTTGACAAAGTTTGATTTCCAAATATGCGCATAAAACATTATTTTCGTGCCGGGTAAGGTACTATTTTCACATTATCCGATCTCTAAAAACAATTAAAGAAAAAATTGAAGTAGTGCAACACAAGTCTTAAGTAATACTATGATTAAAGTGGGATATTTACCTACTCATCTCCGCGATGGCATCGCAAAAATGGTCAATTTTCCGGACAAAATAGTGAAATACTGGTCCTCCTTGGTGATTAAGAAATCCGTGGTCCATTGAAGTTAACTGCACCAGATGGAAAACCCCTTAAAATTAATGATGGTTTGATTATTAGGAAAAATAACAATCGAACGCATTTACGCCTAGTCCTATCACGGGTTGCGACATTCCGAAGAGTAGTTGAGATTTCACTAAACTAGCTAGTTCCCAACCAACATTTGGTTTCCAACTAGTTTCCATGATATTGATCCTGATCATATTTGAATGATAGTAGTATTTAAATGTAAAACTCATTTTAACACGTCTTGAACGTCCTTAGAACTCAAGAATACAGAGGTAGGAGTATCCTCTTAACGTTTCTTTTAACCCTTGTTATTCAATAAAAATTTTTAGATTCTTTTTCTTTTCATGATTTTTGTTGGTACAATAAAAGAAGCAATTGTCCGAATGCTAAGCTTTTTTTTTAATGATTTTTTCATTATTTTTAATGACAATGAAGAGCAATCTTCAACAGTTTCTTAATGAATTCTGAGCATAATTATTTCAAAAAAAAAAATTGTTCTTTCTGTAACAAAAATATAGTTTGATTTTGAAAATAAATTTTTCAAATTTGATTAATGAAATTTATTCTATCGGAAAAGTATTGTATTTTTGACAAATAGGCATGATTCTTCTCTATACATTTTTCTTTTTGTATTAATTTCTAGATTTGAAAGATTAAATCGTACAATTTATCGATTTTAACTTTCCTAATTAAACTATTTTTCCGTCCTTTTACTGACGGCTTTCCATTCTCTTTAACCATGTAAAGAAATTGTAATTTCATATTCAGTGGTTTATTCTTTTCTATGATCCGTGATTTTCTTTTCTTTCTTTTATCTTCTCTTTCTTACTCAACAATAATCAAATAGTACGATATATCATAGTAGATTTATTCGCCCCCCAACACATATATATATATATATATATGATATATACAGGACTGTAATAAAATGTAAAAATTGAGTTAGAGATCAAACATAAGGAAAAATTAAGTAAAAGTACATTCCAAATGATGATGTACGTTTTCCTAAAGAGATGACATTATCTACTTTATCTTTGTTTATACAAGATCATAATTACAAGTTGGTCAACAATCAAATGTGCTGGGGAAAAAAAACAAAAAAAAAAAAAGAGAGAACGACAGAAAGAAAAAAGAAGAAGAAGGACAGCAGATTTTCAACAAGGTCTTCGGATGCATTTCTGAACTGTGATATAAGGGAGCATACTTTCAAGAAGTAATCTTCCGGGAAATGAGTAGATGATTATTTACCGTTGATTCTTTTGTAAGATACCTTCCGCCTCCACGACAATGGGATTTTTGGGATTTTCTCCTTTTGTCATATGGTTTTGTCTGCAAGTTATTTTGACTCCAAAAATGCACCAAGCTTTTGGCTTAGTTCGTTTAGCTTTTTTGTTTTGTTTTATTGCGATCTCATGGCACAGCGGCCAAAAGAAAATAATGTCTGTTTGAAAGATGTCAACCTAGAGGCCATTGAAATCTCCGTTCCAATCTTGCATCGGCTAATGGCGTGCAATATGTCGCATCCAAATGTACCAAAGAAAACAAGCAGTGCTTCCGTTTCTGTTGACAAATCGATGTTCTCGAGAAAATTAGATTTTGCTGGATGGCAGAGAAAGGGAGATGGAATTTCAGCATAAATTACAGAGCAAATTGTATAGCAGACTAGGTGCAGAATCTTGAGAAGAGAAACACAAAATAACATTTACATTGAGAATCATTTTAGTTTGTGTTGTTACAACTTCCAAACTTCCTAACTTCAACTTCCACAAGCCATGCATTCTTCCTTATTTGTTAGAGAGCACACTATCTGAGCCATCCTAGTCTCATCATCATCAGCCACTTTTGGTTTCTCCTGCATTGTAAAAAACATGAACACAATAAGTCAGAAAAGCACAGAACTATGGGTTTCAGTGGAATGTAGGATGATTATACAGAGAATATTAACTGCATTGACCTTAAGCATCAAGGTGTCCACAGTAAATTTGATAGCATCAGCTGCAGCACGTGTTCGTAAATAGTACATCCCTGTTTCCAAACCCTTCATTTTCAACACAAGATAAGCTGATAAGCATAATGGTCACCGACTTCAGATCATAGTCCAATGATCAGTTTGCATCAGTATAGCCAACTTTGGCATAAGAAAAAATAATGGTAATACTCTTGTGATTGCTCATAGAGAGTATGCACAGCAAAAAAGCACTAGATAACAAATCGGAAAAAGAAACACAAATACATTCATTAAGAAAATCCGTATGCCAATAAATTTTAGCATCGCATTGAGCTTAGTTAAGGGATAATAACAGAAATTTTGTAAATTTACCTTTGACCAAGCATGGTAATGCATTGAAGTAAGCTTTCCGAAATTAAGTTCATCCATGTGGATGTTGAGGCTTTGGCTCTGGTCTATGTAGCATCCACGATCAACAGCCATATCTACAACTGGAGCTGTTTGATTTCCCAAGCAGTCCTGATAATAACAATATGCTTTAGTGTAATGAAACTCCTAAGGACAGACGGAGGGTTGGAAAAATTGATTTTGTAATAGAACATTCATACTTGTATATAACTTTTAGGTCTTCAGGTACTTCAGCAACCTTCTGAACTGAGCCATTTTCGTATATGATCCTGTTCTTAAGTGCTGGAACCCAAAGGCCCATCTCATTTAAATCATGAAGCAGATGCTTGTTCACCACGACAAACTCACCACTGGGAGAGATAATAAGAATTATAAACATATCCTTCAAAATTAATTACACCAAAGTAGCAGAAACCAAATTGGATCAGGTAAGGTATATCTAAGAACTCTACGACTGTAGATGTTTGACGTGTATGGTTCAAAACATTCATTATTCCCAAGAATCTGGCTAGTTGAAGCAGTTGGCATGGGTGCTACAAGCAGGGAGTTTCTCGCACCATGTTTTGATACCATAGCCTGTAAAGCATCCCAATCCCATCTATTTGATGGTGTAACTCCCCACATATCTGGCTGAAGAATGCCCTGCGAACACACAAGAGAAAGCCCTGAGAACACAGTTACCATTAAACTTTAAATTATTGCATGCATAAACATCTAATTAGATCATTCTTTGTAGATTGACTTGCTCGTATAATTATCATAACATGGCATTCAAAATGCAGAGATCGACATCCATATTCAGACCTGACATGCTCAACATGCTAAACTAGCCTAGTAAATCCAAATTCAAACCAGGTCAACAGGACTAATAAAGAATATCAACCAGCATTCCTCTTGTTTTAAGTGTATTTAATGGTCACGTGGATGGTCTTATCAACCAATATACTAAATTTGAAGTAATCACTTATAAGAGAGGAAAAAAGTTGTTGGGGATTTATCTGGAGGAGAAAACCCGACATGAAGTCCAATAAGTAAGATAAGACACATCTGAACTCAAAAGCTCAAGCTAATGGGTTCTGAGACTACCTTACTTATTAACCGATTCACATGTCCTCATGCCTCCGATGTGGGATTCATAATCCTTGCCACAAGACCCTCAACATAAGTTTCATATGGACCTTCAATTGCTGCCAATTCAGAAGAAGCTTTTAGCGCATGATAGTATAGGTCTCAAATATGTCCTTGTTCAGTTGTTGAGCCTATGGAAAAAGAAAGATGATCAATCTGTAATTTGAAGAAATTCCTTGTAATTGTTGGAAAAAAGAAACACCATTACCTCAGGAGAATCAAAGGCCATGCCAAGTAATATGAAGGTATCTGCAAGACCTTGAACTCCAATTCCGATTGGTCTGTGACGTAAATTTGACAGTTTTGCAGTTTCATTGGGGTAGTAACTACAATCAATTATTTTGTTCAAATTTGCAATGATTATTGCAGTGACCTATAAAAAAAAACGAGACCTCAAATTCATATTTAACTTTGTGAAATGAGGAAAGAATACATGAAACAGATATCATAATTTTAACCTAGCGAAGCTTCTCAAAATCAAAGTATCGGTTCTTGAAACCTCTACTGCCCACAAGTTTGTGATAGAATATATAAATTAGGAAACCCTAAATAGAGTTTCCATAGGCAGTTAGGATTTCTGTACAAAGTGTTATATATACCACAATGTATACGTATGAATCGACACAGAAAATAATCACTTCTTTCATGGTATCAGGTTTTCTCGTTGCTGGCCTCCTTTTCTTCAGGGTTTCTGTCAATTTTTTTCAAACTAAAATCTGATGGATCCCTTGATCGTTGCAAAGCACGTTTGGTTGCTCAGGGTTATAATCAAAAACCTGGCATTGATTATGATCAAACGTTCAGTCTTGTGGTTAAGCCAGTGATAATTCAGACTGTCTTAAGTATTGCTGCTTCTTGAAAATGGCCTGTCTATCAGTTGGATGTTAAAAATGCATTTTCGCATGACCATCTTAACGAAATTATCTACATAAAACAGCCTACTGGTTTTGTTCATCCAGACCATCCTCATTATGTCTCTCGCTTGAACAAGGCTCTTTATGGCTTAAAGCAAGCCCCTCGACCGTGGTTTCACCGATTTACTACTTTTTTGCTTGCACAGGGTTTCAAAGCCAGTCGTTCTGACATTCTCTTAACTGCATCCAGTGATCGCCTTCTTACTCGTCTCATTCAGTCTATGAAAGGTGCTTTTGCTATGACAGATCTAGGCCCGATCAGTTATTTTCTTGGAATTTTTGTCTTTCCACAGTCTAATGGTTGGTTTCTTCACCAACGCAAGTATACAGAAGAACTGTTGGCTCGCAGTAATCTTACAAATACCAACCCTGTTGCTACTCCCCTAAGTCCGGCTTTTCAGTTTTCAGTGGCTAACTCTCCCTCTTTTCATAATCCCACTCTTTATCGGAGTTTGGTGGGTGCCTTGTAATATCTCACTTTCACTCGGCTGGATATCCAGTATGTGGTCAATCTTGTCTGTCATCATATGCATGATCCTCGAGAGCAACATTTTCAAGCGGTCAAGCGTATTCTTCGTTATATTAAGGGCACTCTTCACTATGGTGTTCATTTGGGGACTGGTCCTCTTGATCATCTTGTTGCCTATTCTGATGCTGATTGGGCAGGTTGTCTTCCTACTAGATGTTCCACCACTGGATTCTATGTCTTTCTAGGTTCTTCTTTGGTTTCTTGGTCTTCCAGGAAGCAAACTACAGTTTCCCGCTCCTTAGCCGAATCTGAGTATCGTGCGGTTGCTTCAGCATTAGCAGAAACTATTTGGTTGGAACATCTCCTCTCTGAGCTCCATATCACTCTTCCTCGGTCTCCTATTATCTTATGTGATAATGTATCGGCTACCTATCTCGCTGCAAATCCAGTCTCTCATGCCCGAACGAAACACATTGAACTAGATATTCACTTTGTTCGTGATCGAGTTGCAGCTGGTCTTCTTACAGTTCTTCATATTCCTACACAATCTCAATTGGCTGATGTTTTTACTAAATCATTAGCAAAAGATAAATTTTATTTGTTTCGTACCAATCTAGGCATGATATCTCATCCTACTACGATTGCGGGGATGATAGAATATGTAAATTAGGAAACCCTAAATAGGGTTTCCATAGGCAGTTAGGGTTTCTGTACAAAGTGTTATATATACCACAATGTATATGTATGAATCGACACAGGAAATAATCACTTCTTTCAGTTTGGAAGGTTGTGATTCTGATGGGATACCCTGCCACAGGGAAATAAGATTGTGCAATATTAGTATCACAAAGTTGAGCAAGAATTACTCCTATGAATCTACCTGGATATCTACCTTTTCTCTAACATATCGTGGCAGCGCAATTGATGCCAAATTGCAAACTGCAGTTTCTGTAGGACTAGAGTACTCAATGATCTCTGTACATAGGTTAGAAGATTTAATTGTTCCGAGATTCTGCTGATTGCTTTTTCTGTTGCAAGCGTCCTTCACGGAAAACCCAAAAGAAAAGGGTGTTAGTATAGATTTAACAATATAACATCCAGGATCTATTGTAGAGCAACATAAAACTAAATTGACCTTGTAGAGCATATAAGGCGTCCCAGTTTCAACTTGGGACCTCAAAATTGCAAACCAAAGCTCTCGTGCTTCAACAACTTTCTTTGCCTTGCTCTGTGAGAAAAGGTCATTGATCAGTGGACATTTAGAGAACAGAAAGAGCCCTTAACAAAAGTCTTTCAGGCAATGTACCTGCTTTTCATATTTGTAGTATAGCCTTTCAAATTCTAGCAATCAGCCAATCATGGGGCCTCACTAGGGCAAAATAAGGACCACTCGTCCTTTTGTTTGACTCTTTCCATGAAGAGATCAGGCACCCAAAGAGCATAAAACAGATCTCGTGCCCTATGCTCTTCCTGGAATAAAAGATATTTTAAGGGATTAATAAAACGATAAAGGATTAAAGGCCTGCTTTAAAACAATGATATTATAAAAGCTAAGCAGGCCGCAAAAATGAGCATAGCAATTGATTTTGAGCTGTACAACTGAAACTGAAGCAACGACCATACCTTCCCATGGTTAATCTTCAGCTCCAAAAATTCAAATATGTCAGCATGCCAAGGCTCAAGGTACACAGCGAAGGCCCCTAGTAGTGACATAAAAGATCAACAAATCAATCAGAGTGGACACATTAAAACTACAGATGTTCAAAAGAGCATATGAAAATCACATATCCTTCCTCTTGCCACCTCCTTGATCAACATAACTAGCTGTATCATTGAATACCCGCAGCATTGGAACAATACCATTAGATGTTCCATTGGTTCCACGGATGTAACTTCCAGTGGCACGGATATTGTGAATGGATACCCCAATCCCGCCAGCTGATTTGCTGTTAATAGCACACTCCTTGAGTGTGTCATAAATACCCTCAATACTATCGTCTTTCATGCATACCAGGAAGCAACTACTCAACTGGAAAGCGAAAAGAGAATGTTAGACGACCACACGTACAACATAGGTCAAACTAAAACCTAAGAATCCAGAAAAAGAGATAGGGTCATTCAGTTCATCTATAACTTCTACTACTCAGAAACTATCATACTTGGGGCCTTGGAGTGCCAGCATTGAAAAGGGTAGGAGAAGCATGAGTAAACCATCTTTGTGACATGAAATGGTATGTTTTTATAGCAGAATCAATATCTTCTTTGTGAATTCCAATAGCTACCCTCATCAACATTTGTTGTGGTCGTTCCACAACCTTGCCTTGGATCTTCAAGAGATATGACCTCTCAAGTGTCTTGAAAGCGAAGTAATCATAGTCTAAGTCCCGATCATAGATTATCTCGCTATCCAAACGTGAAGCATGCTGAAATAGAAACGGGTCATTAACAAATCATAACCGTCAAGCAGAGTAATGGCAGTTACTAACTCAAAGCACATAGCCGAATGAGATCTATTGGACTTCCTCTTAAGTTACTACTATTTTTGTTTCATCTATTTTCATTTCACAACAATTAAAATCTGTACGTTTCTTGGGACAAATTTACTAAAATCAGCAGCATATAGCTTTTCAGCTACGAACAACTGGAAAGTCAACATGATATAGACAAATTAAGCATTGCCTTCATGATTATCTCGTAAACATCATCAGCAATAAGAGGAGCTTTCAAACCCTGACCTCTCACTGACATGGCTATACAAATCCTTGACCCTGCAACAACACTCTTAAGATATCAAAACGTATACCAGTAATTCAGCTATTTCAATAGAAGACATAGCATCAGCAGAACCATTGAAGGACTCACGTTTCAGAAAACGATTTCTTTGTGTTCTTGTGCAGATTTGAAACAACAATCCTTGCAGCCAACTGTCATCGAGATGAGCAATTAATATATCCATTAGGCTCGAGCAGTAATCAAACATTTTGCAAGGTCGAGAAACGACAATAAAAAAAGTACAAATTGTACTATACAATGAAAAGAATCAAGCAACACCCAGCAAAATTACGTTTATTCTCTCATCTATGGAAGCAATAAAATTTCTCTCTACGCAACATCAATTGAACAAGAAAAAAAAAAGATCTCCATAAACAAAAGGCTACTCACACAAGCACAGTCAGGATGGTTTGTAGTCATGGTGGCTGCGGTTTCGGAAGCCAACTCAACAAGCTGACTGGTGTGACGCCTTTGTAGACTCCGGCGCAGACTTTCTGAGCAACCATAACCGGATCGCAGTGATCGCTGCTGAGGCCATAACTCAATTTCTTCAACTGGGCGGTAATCTTGTCGAACTGAACCGTCTCTTGCCTCCCATCTCGCTTCACTACGAACATTTCTTCTCCTCCTTTTTTACAGAAATCGATGCAAACTTCTTTGAGGAATTTTGTCGAATAGGTTGGAATTTGTGGAATACCTAGGTTCACTGCTCGGAATGTTCAATATATTTGCAGGAATTTTGTCTTTAGGTTTCTTTAAAATATGAGAGATATATGGGGAAAGTGGATTCCAAATTTTCCCGCCAAGAGTGGGATGGTTTAGGTGACCGCAAATGACGAATCATGAGCCCAAACATAGAATATGCAAGAAAAGCTTGAACTAAAAGCTTTGGGCTTGGGTCTTTGGGTTGTTGGATTGGATCCAATGGATTTTTTAAAGAAAAAATATTTTTTAGAGCATTTGAAGGGGAGGATTTTTGAATCCACTAAATTTAGTTCTTTCAGCCACTAGTTTTCAATTTTGACCACTTTATCCCTGTCATTTGACCAAACTAAATTGAAAGAGAGAGAGAGAGAGGGAGAGAGGATGAGCGAGAGAGAGAGAGAATAAGCCACTCGGACCGAACTGGGCAAGTCATCCGGTTCGATTCACGTGAAAACGGACAAATTATTAATTTTTATTTTAATGCTAGTTTATTCGCAGTATTACGGCATGTTGAATACTTCGTAGTTTAAATATTATTAACAATATTTATACTTTAGTACTTAAACTCACAACTTTATATTTACTTGAAAATAAACAAGTAATTAGTTTTTACTTGAAAATAAATTTAAGATTATTCGTTAAGTTAATTTATTTAAGTTAATATTAAAATATAAAATTTTGCTTCAATCATTATTTTTTAAGATAATTTTTAGTTAGAAATAATAATTATACATTTATAATCAGAAATAATAATTGTACTACAAAGATTGTGACAAATATGAGCAAACAGATTGACTATTTTTCGTATTACAAAGATTGGTGATACTTAATATAACTTAAATAATAAATTATTCATAAATTTAATGAATAAAAATTTTAATGACCTAAAAACTAGATTAACTAATTAAAAAAAACAAAAAATCTAAAAATTACAAAAAAAAAAAGCAATGTATCCGATTGCTATTTTTTAATTTTTAGACTTTTTTAAATAAAAAATATTGCAAAACAAATATTGCTACTTTTTTAATTACAGAAAAAAAATAAAAAAAAAAACAAAAAAATTTAAAAAATAAAAAAATGGGCTTGACCGGACAAGTTCACTATATCGGTCCGAACCGGGACCGACCGTGCAATGAATCCATCCCGAGTTAACCCGGGACGGGTGGACCGCCCACTCTCTTGTTTGTCCGAACACGTTCGTTGCCCATCCTCGTCCCGAGTTAACTCGGGACGGGTGGACCGCCCGTCCCGGGTTAACTCGGGACGGATTCATTGTGTCACGGCCGTTTCCAGTTTCTCGGATCAGCCGGCATTTCCCACGTTTTTGGGTGGTTTGCTTGTTTGCCAGGCCGTTTCTTTAGACGGAACAAGGGACGGGTCGAGTTAGGGCTTCCTGGAGTTCTCCGGTCAAGCCTAGACATAATTGGAATTCTCTAGAAAGAGTCGGACGTTGCTGGAAACGTAGGGAAGGTACCGGAGTTTTGCTAGAACAATCTGGAATGGGATAGAGCTTTCTAGGGACTTATGGAATTCCACACTTAGAATATTTTAGTCCTAGAATTCTCTAGATAGCTATTATTTTATTCTTTGTATAGAATTCTCTAGAATTCTCATAGACTTGGAGACTTAGCCTATAAATACCCCAAGCCTCCCGCATTTGTAACCATCAAAGCTTTGAGTAAGAATTCTCAAGCATTCCTTAAGATCTCTTGTGCCTACATCGTTCTTTCATTTTCAAGCTTTTTTAAGTTTTCGTTTGCCTACGTTCTTAAGTTCTCTTCCATAATTTTGCACGTTAAAGGGGTCAAGGCTGAGCTAGTACGTTCATTGTTGGTGGTTTTAGTGCTAGTGCCGTATGGCCGTTACTTTGAAAAAGTAAGCCCGAGACAATTGCACGGTCGATCGGTTTTTTTTTTTTTTTAGTTTTCAATTTTTCTTTTTAATTTTCTCTCTAGTCAAGTTATACAATTTGAAAAAATGATAGGGATAAAATGATTATAATTAGAAATTTGTGGCTGAAAGAACTAAAATTGGTCACTTGAAAAAGTAACATCCTTTTTGAATTTTAAATTAGCTTCCAGTGGAAGCTCGCGCGAAATGTATGAAAACCCATGAAAAAAGAAAATAGTGTTATGAAAAATATTTGATTTGATTGAATGTCTACATCAAGAGTCTTATTCTATTCACAATCAAGGAAATATGATTCTGTAATATTTAGCATTAATAATAAGTGATTTATTTCACATAATTTGATCTCCTACTTCTTGTATAAATAAAGAGCTCATTTATGTTTCATATCACATTTCAATACAAGTTTCTTATCTCTCTTTACTCTCTTGTCTCTCCTTCTTGTCCTTATCCTTAGTTTTATATTACTAATTTAATTTTATAACAACGAGAACCTGGATAATAGCAAGCATCGGAGCCAATGATGTTCGAATTTTTTACCCGTTTTCATTTTTTTTGTATATATTCCTTAGAAATGTAAAAAACAGTAGTATTACAATATAAATGTGTATCTAAAACTAGACTACATTTTTTATCTAAACGGAGTTAGAAGTAAGTATTTATCCAATGTTCGACATCTTTCTCTACATGATCATGGTGATTTATTAAAATGTTTGCATTAAACAATCACGCTCGTAGTACATTCATTATTAATAACTGTGATAATTGAATAATGATGTTAGTCATCACCCTGAAAATTCAAAATTTCCTCCAAAGTCCAATAGGCAAAATCAGGAGCTTGAAGGCAATCAAGCAAAGTAACATATACCGAAAAAAACAATACAGTAAATCGTTAGTAACATTAATAATATGCTAATAAAATTCCTATAATGCGATGAATAAATCCTCTCAAAAAACATTCCGGTGGATTTTTAGATAAAAAATAATCAGATCTACAATCTATATGGCTAAACTGGCGATTGAAAATTCCTTATGGAAGAACAGCTTGACCGCCATTTTTCACCGGGAAGAAGTATTTTTTTGTTCAGAAACGCATAGCAATTCCGGGATACTGACGATTAAAGTTCCCGGCCGGCGAGGAATGAAGCCGGCAGCTTTTGGTACCCATTGCATCAGAAACCAAATGTTGCCTGAAAGTCGCAATGAACGCCTCCACTTTCTGATTGAATTCCTCCTTGGAAAGCTCATGAGCTTTGGAATCTGAAACCCTGACCACATTCCGATGACTAATTTCCCTTTTCCGATTAACTCTGCTCTTCACTACAACTCCTTTCGGACGGGCACAATGGCTGCCATTGTCAACTCCAATCTCAACTTCTTCCGGCTGTTCATCTTTTCTGCTACAAAATTGTTTCATCTTCTTTATCATCTCCTCATTCTCAATCAAATCAACCCTTTTCTCCTGACAATCTGGATGATTATCAGTGGGTGGTTCTATTACATCGAATTCTAAATCCTCTGTTGAGGTGGGAGGAGGAGAAGATGGAGGAGAAGTGAAGAGAATACCCAAAAGTAGTAAATTCAGAGCAAGGAAAACCACAACCCTCCATTGCTCTATGAATGATACTAAAATAGCCCTTTCTAAACAAGCCATGAATGCAGCTGTTCCAGCTGCAAACCACACTGCTTGTAATTCGCCTTGTGATTTCTTCTTCTCCTCTGCCCCCGCCGCCGTCACCATCTTCATTCTCCGGCTAACTGCTTGAAGATTGATGAAGGGCTTTTGATTTCTGAATCCCCTCAAACCATATTTAGGCCTTCTTTATATAATACTGGTAGGAATGGTTTGATTCATGAAAATTGAAATTGGGGGCCGGTGGTTTTTAGTGGGGGCAAAATTGTTTAGTTCCGGGCATCGTAATGATCAGAGACGTGACAACTGAGTCTGCTGAGGGAGAGACAACAAAACATTCTATCTGCAGTCTCTGTTGCACATTACTTTATATACTTATTCTATCTTCCCACTTAGCCAACATAGGATATACTTCTTCCTTTTCATCATTTCCCTTTTTTTGGCTTAATGCTTCAACTTATCATTGGGATGACTTCCTATTTGCTCTTATAATATAAAAACTCGGTATCAAAATAATAGTCGTATTTGTTGTATTATTTGTGTATCACTAGTATTTAGAGACGAATCGAGTGCTAAAATCATTACTAATTCCTTTTCTTTTGTTAGATAGGCGTGCAGGTGTGCACCGTCCATTGACATTGTTATGCTCTGCGCAATAATAATTTCGTCCTATTCCTACACGAAGAATTAATTCCTCTCCAGAAGCTAAATGTTGCAAAAAAAAAAAAAAAAAAATCGGAGGTAATAATTACATCTAAATCGAAACTTTCATGCTAGTAAATAGTAGTCACCAATTGCAGAAAGTTCAAAAAAAATTTTGGCTAAAGGGATGACTGGGAGCAATTGCTCTAGTCGCTGTTATGGTATCCCAAATCAAGGTGGCACTGTTTACAAGAAGTTCAAAAGAAAAACCCCAATCCGTACATTTTAAAGCACGAAAAGGAAATAGCTACGTTCCCTTCTTTTTTTCTTTCTTTTTTTTCCCCTTTTGTGGGCATGCTTTTGCCTCCAAAATTTTGAAAGGGGGACGACTGATGGTGATTGGGATGTCTTGCCGGAGTTTATCTGGGATTGGTGACTTGATGGGTCGGAATCGGAAGCACGCCTGGGTTCATTTTGTTTTCTTACCGTCGTGCATTTTAAGTAGACCCCCCACTAACAAGTAACAATATGGCACATCCCACATGAAAAGGTAATAATGGCTCAAATCAAAATGATATGGAATAGTTTGGGCCTGATTTTAACTGGTGCAAAGTGGTATACCCCTTCCGTCCCAAAAATAATACGGTAAAGTGAACTATCTTGTTGAGTAAACAAGTTAACATTGGATTCCTTCTGGCCGTGGGTACATATACTTGAGAGGTGTTTTGTCCCCCGTGTTCTTTGTAGACTCATTAAGCTGCAGTTATACTGTAACTCATCTCACTTTGAAGCAAAATGCGAAAAGACGCTTAATGAATGATGATCAACTCCAAAGGCATTCAGATGAAATATAAAAAAAGATAGTAGAACTGTACAATCCTAAGGACTAAAGCCAAAGGGAAAGCTAGTGTCGATATGGAAGCGGTTACTAGGGCAGCCTATAAATATTCTCTACAGATAATCAGTAAATCAGAAGCTTTATCGCGCTGTTTGTTAATCCAATCAGACTTGCAAATATACCAGATGAGAGCATCTCCAAGACGATGGCAGCGATCCTTGCTACTACCAACCCGTTGCTGACAAGGAAATAAGCTGCAAAAAGGAAGCAAATCAAACTTAACATGAGTTCTTAGTTAGCACTTAGCAGGAAAAGGAAGGCAAAGCTATGAAATTAAGTTACTTCTAGATATATATAATATTTCACTTATTCTCTGCTACATTGACTACTCAAACCAAACTTAGCCTTGGAAAAGAAACCTTGCATTGTGAGAGTAAATGCTTCGCTCATTCTTTGGTACTATAACTTGATCATATATCTTGCTCTTAGACATGAATTCATTAGAATTTAACTAATTCGCCTTCATACTTAATACAATTTAATACAAAATAATAACAACGATAAATGCTGTTCAAGGATATAAAAGCCAACCTGATGAGCAATTTGAACCAGTCCTCTGCTGTCATCCAGTGATTCATTCACGGCACTAGCTTGTGGTATTAAATCAAGCTCCGTGTGCTTTCCAGAGCCATTGTTCATCAGCAACCCATTCTGCCGTTTCCTGGCTTTCCTGCTGAATGTGTCTGCATTAGACTTGCTGCTTCGGTGTTCACTATCTGCCATGTCGGTCAATCTCGACATTCTGTTGCTCTTCTTGTCAGTGGGAGTCAATGAGACATTATCCAACTCCGTTGTCATGGGTGTTACCTGCATGGGCACATCTATCAATGTTGAACCATTTTCTGAAACCTTAGCATTGCTAGAATCTCCAGAAGCTTCCATGCACTTGCGATTATTTGTACGTTGGGTGCCACATTTATGATCTTCATACTTTCCTTCTGACAGATGCTCAGCACATTCAGCAGTACAATGGGCTTCTTTTCTCTTTTTACAAGATCCTTCATTTTCTTGAGGATTAGCTCCTTTGCGTCTGCATAAGGTAGAAAAACCATCCCATTGCTTAACTTTTCTTTTTCTTGTACTTCTACGGGCAACAGAAACAGGTTCATATTTACCATGAGAAAGGTCCTCTTTAAAATGGGAGGAAAGAACAGCATCCTTTCTTTTTTTTTCAAAAACTTTTTCAGCTTGATTTCTACCATTCCTCTTGGAGAGATTACCAGACCTATCCACAATCATACTAGAGGGAAGATAAGCGTTGCAGCGGGAAATCGTAGAAAATGTTCTCTGTGACTTCACAAAGCGGCCAGAAATGTATCTGCATCCTCTGGCATTGGCTCTGCATTTGACTTGTCGAGTTCTCCTTCTGCGCAATATCTGAATCTTCTGAGACCAATCCTTTGTGGCACTGTCAATTAGAGATGGCTTCTCAATTGCAACATTGTCAACTGAACCTAATTTACGAGATGTGGAAGGAATACTGTAATTTACGCCCAATTCTTCATTCTTCAGAACAAGTGATTTGTATTCATCCAGGTTGACTGCCAAGGGCATTCTTCCATCTATCAGGTCTTTTTCTATGGCCCTGATTTTTCGGATGCATTCGCTGTTACATGATCCAGGTCCTCCTTTTCTGAAATAAATAGAGTCAAAGACAGGGTTGTCCACAAGGCAACGATCAAAATCAGAATTTGATGTCAAGTGTTCTGCTGATGGTCCAGGAAACTGATGAACAATTGAGTGATGGTCCAAGCATCTAGAGTTGAATTCTACATCTGACAATGATGAGTGACAGCAAGGCTGGTTAGCACTTTCTTTTTCCCTTGAGGAATGTACAGCCTGTTCCTGAAACTTTGCATCATCTGACTGTTCCTGAAACTTGGTTAGTTTTGCCCTGAGGTCTAATATCATCTCTTCAGCTTCATCTAGCTGTAACTCAAGCTCCTTAATCTTCTTCTGTTGATTCATTGATTTAACCCCAGCCTCAGCATTCTACAAAAGCAAGATAAATTTCACTTGGTTGACTTAATGAATGCTACCCAAAAAATATCGAAGCAGCCATTCAATTCCAGGAACAGTTGATGTGAACTAGCGTCAACTCATCATTTCAAAATCAAAAAACTTACAAGTGCAACAACATAACCTGACTAGAAACGCCTCAAGATGAGGTGTCCTTTTTCCATCCATAAAAAGCAAATAAAATCCCTGACTTCATGAATTTTATTTGTCTTCTCACAAAGCTCAACTACAGAAACCAAAAGAAACACGTCTACCTTTGAGTGGAAGGTTAAAGATGGCCCTTTTATCAAAGCCAAGAGCCAGGGGATTATTCTCAATCCAATCCAGATTAAAAGAATTGGACAGACAAGTTGATTGCTTTAGGAAAACACATGATGATTTTACAAAGAAAAGTAATCCCAATGCAATTCAATTCACATGAGATTACAGACAAAATGACACAGAAGTTATATACTCAAATAGGCAAACAATTGCACATATTTGAACAAATGTAATGGAAGTATGGAACTTTTTCCGTCACTAGTTCAAATTGACTCTTTCCAACTGCCATATGAAATCGATTAAAGCAGTTAATGATACCAAAACCCTAAAAAACGACGATTTGAAATGGTAAAGTATCAACAGAAAGAAAACCCCTTTCTCAGAAACATAATAACAGTAATTAATACCAGCAAAAGAGAGCAAAATCCGAACTTTTTAAAGGAAGTCTTAGAAAAAGAACCTCAGTTTCCATCGTCTGTTTCATGCGAATTAACATCCGAACTGCCTCCTGTTTCGTGAATTCCAACTCTTTCTTATACTTCTTGGCCTTCTGCTCCGCCACCAACACACGAGCCGCAGCCTCCTTGGCCGTATTGAGTATCATGTCCGCGTAAGCCTTCTTCAGAGCCAACGTTTTCTGTACAGAAATCGCCATCAGAGCTAGAGAGAGAAAAGGGAAAGAAAATTCCAGAATTCCAGAATGATTAATAAGCGATACTAACCTCGGCTTCGTCGATGGCGGTTGGTAAAGGCTCGGAGGCCGGAATTCCGTCCATTCCGATGCCGATTGAATGCTTCGGATTGAGGCCAGGTCTTTGGAAACGGCGGCGTTGAGAGGGAGAATTGTGGATGTTACAAAGTCGTTATTTGGTTCTTTCTGAGTTGGCGCGCGTAACGAAAGTGAGGGTTGCGGATATTTTGGAGAAAGAGGGGGGAAAATGTACTTCTCGAAAGCGCGCTTACGCCAATCACCCAAATTTTTTAAATTTTGAATAGTTCTGCTGATTGGGCTGGCTTTGTTATTGAACTTGAGCATACGCAAAGCTTATTTCCCTTTTCCTAAAGTGAACCAAAAAAAAAGAGAGAATTAAAAAGTTTTAATTAATTTTCAACGATGGTGAGCCAATTGGAATTTAGGATTTAATCTCATCAATTTACTACTCCATCTCTCAAAATTACTGTCCGTTTTTTATTTTTAGTTTTGTACATATTGAACTAAAATTGAAAATCGAAACTGAACAGTAATTTTGAGACGGAAAAAATATATACTTGTAGGAGTACAAGAGATTCTCTCATTCCTCTCCCGTTCTTCAGAGCACAAAAATCATTCTACTTATTGTCGATTACAAATGGTTGACCATTCAGTTTTCAACCTATATTCCTAGTAAATTGTATCAACAAATTGTTGACAACATTATAAAATATGTAATAGGATGTTTAATTCAACTATCGACTTGATACCTTCTATCATTCCGTTAACTATCACATCATATGATTTTGTGAACGACTCATTAGTAGGAAAATGTAGGAATCAAACCATTGAAAATAAAGATGGAAAATAAGATGTAGTTTGATAATATTGCTAATTTTGTTATCAAATAATGGAATATATCTACAGCTGCATTCTTTTTTACTTGTGTAACTAAGGTAGATTGTAATTAAACGAAGGCACAAAAAAATTCAAATACCTAAAATACTCATGCAACCATTACTTTTACCAATGTCACCAGTTTCTAAATTAATAGAACGTTGTTCATCATATTCTAAACTTCTTCGTGATTTGGCTATAAAAAGTAAAAATTAGATACTAAATTTTCCACAAATCAGGTACCCCTGTGGGAGCCCTTGTGTGAAGCTCTGTCCAAGATGGGTTCGCCCGAGAACATTGCTTCATTTTCCAGGGATGTGGCTCCTGTTTTCACTAGAGGTCCTGGTGAGGAATTGGCAGTACTTGAGGTCTCCGACGAGTATTTTGGAATTGATCTCGAGGAAGATGAAGATGAGACTGCTGAGGAAGATGACACAGGCAATTCGGGTGCCAAAGACCAAGATCCCCCAACCGTGGGAGATACTGGAGGAGCCGAGGAAGGGAACCCCTCTATCGAGGAATCATCTGAAGACCAACCGGGAACAACTCTCGTTCTCAGACTGCTGTATGAATTCAATTTCCTTTTAATAGTGTCCTCCCTTGTTTTGAGAAGTTATTGTATCACCGTTCATGGCGGTGAATGTGAACATTTTAAGTATCTGTTGGTATTTACATGATATCCAATCTTTTTTAACTTTATCCCATTTCTTATGCTAGGAATCGTACTTTGTACACCAGGTACATCTGATGATCTTGGACAAAAATCAAACTAAAATTTTTTCGATGTATGCTATGGTTTCTGCGACAATGAGAAAGTTGGGCAATGTCCACAGTATTTCTGTTGTAAGAACCCTCGAGAAAGATATTGTGGACGCCATGCAAACATATAATGTGCAGATACATTCTCGGCTGGTACAGCGGTTCAAGCAAAAAGAAGAAGAATATCAACGCCGCCTTCAGCAATATGACCTCGACTATCATGATTCCCTGATCCTGGAGGAAAATATAAATGAAGAAATGGCGAATTTAAGGAAGGAGAACGCCCAACTGAAGCACTGTGAAAGAATCGTGGTCTCCCCATGGTTTCTCGAGAAGTTCCACATCCTTTCACTTGTTGAGAAACAAATTCAAATCAGAACAGAACACTTCATCGCCGCCATCGAGATGCTGAAGAAAAGAACTAAAGAGGCTGAATTTTATTCGAGACAATCTGCCGTCCTACAGAACATACTGGTCGATCGTAGGATCCCGCTTCCTATTCTCGAGGATATAGATGAGCACGAGGAAGCTCGTGAGAGGACAGCTACCGAAGAATTCCTTCTTAGGCTCGACAAGCAAGATTGGGAGATTGTCGACTTGAAAGACAAATTGAACCATGGATCGACCATCTGAGAATGCTAGGATTCTCGGGCATGATTAAGCCGTCTCGATTTAACCCCAAGGGGGAAGATCTTAGTATTTAAGGGTAAATAGATGTATTTATCCTACATCGCACAAGGTGTGAGGGCAATGTATTTGATTCGAGCCTTATTAATGTTGTTTTTTTTTTTGGTACTCGAGTAGTATTTATATAGCGCTTTTGCGGCTGGATGTAAAGTACATAGCACCCCGAGGGAACTGTGCACGAGTTCCTCGACTTATTACCGCGATCTACGACGTGTACGAGGGGACTTCCTCGATTTTTGTCCGGATGTTGAATACACGGCTCTGAATGAAGATGGTCCTAAAGGGGAGTCCATCTCGAAGACTAGTCTCAATATAATATCGACCATATAAGAAAATATGCAATGAGTTTTATTGAATAATTACCCCAGGACCTGGGTTAGCATTATATATGAAAAAATCAAAGCAATAAAGCAAATAAAGCAAATAAAACAAATAAGGCAAGCAACCTAAACTAGCACATAGGAAATAGGGGCTTAAACATAGAACCTGCGGAGGTTCTGAATGTTCCACCATCGTGGGAGGATGATTCCACTATCATCCGTGGTCTATAACCGGTAGCTGCCTACTGGAGAGGTTTGAATGACTTTGTAAGGTCCTTCCCAATTTGTAGTGAGTTTTCCTGGAGTCTCGGCTCTACAGGCTTCGTTTTTTCTGAGTACTAAATCCTCCACCATGAGGTCTGTTGCCTTGACTCGCTTATTATAGTGTTTTATGAGGATCTCCTTGTACTTGGCTTTCCTTATTCTGACGGCGTCTCGCTGTTCCTCGAGCAGGTTGAAGTTTAGCCTGATATCATCGTCATTAGAACTCTCAACAAAGTTGATTGTACGAGGGCTTGCGAGGCCTATTTCGACTAGGAGAACCGTGTCCATGCCATAGACCAAGTTGTAAGCAGTTTCATCTGTCGAGAAGTGGGCTGTGGTGCGATATGACCACAAGACATGGGAGAGTTCCTCAGCCCAAGCTCCCTTAGCGTCGCGTAGGCTGGTCTTGATTCCATGTAGGATAGTTCTATTAATAGACTCTGCTTGGCCATTAGCTTGAGGGTGAGCCACACTCGAGAACTGACGCTCAATTTGCATTTCTTCGCACCAAGACTTGAAAGGGTTACTTTCGAATTGAGTGCCATTGTCGGAGACAATAATCCTAGGAACCCCAAAATGGTAGACGACATTTTGCCAGAAGAAATTCAGCACTTGTCTTCCAGATATTAAGGCTAACGGTTTGGCTTCTATCCACTTGGTGAAGTAATCGACCGCTACTATTACCCATCGTACTCCTCCTGCCCTTTTTGGATGAAAAGGGCCGATGATATCGGTGCCCCATTGGTAAAATGGCCAGGGACTTTGAATGGTGACCTTATCGTACTTCGGCTATCAAGTAATAGGGCTAAAGTGTTGACATCAATCGCACTTTTGCACGAATTGATATGCATCTTTGAAAATCGTGGGCCAAAAGTACCCGGAACGCAGTACTTTTTAGCGAGTGCCCTGGCTCCCATGTGTGCTCCGCATGATCCCTCACGAATCTCTTCGAGGATGTATGCTGCTTGTCTTGGTCCGACACATCATAGCACCTGTAGCATGTATCCATGCTTGTACAACACTCCATCTCTTAACGTGTACTTAGGCACTTTCAATTGGAGCGCTTGAGCGTCAAACTTATTATTGGGTAACGTCCCATCTGCTAGATACTGAATGAACAGGATCATCCAAGTGTCACCATCCTCGGTGATAGTCATTGTCGACATTTTCCGAATGCTAGGCTCGGGGAGGATCTCGACCAAACCTTGTGACTGAAGTGCATGAAGTCGAGAAGGCCAACTTGCTCAATGCATCCACCCTTGTGTTTTTTGTCCTTATGATCTAGGAGATTTTGCATTCTTCAAACTTATCTTTTAACTCGAGAACTTTCTCTAGATATTGCTTGAGCTGCCCATCATTTGCTGTATAATCACCTACGATTTGATTTACACCACCTGAGAGTCGCTAAAGACTTGAATTCTTCGGACCTCAAGTTTTAGAGCCATGTTAAGGCCCGCTATCAATGCTTCGTACTCAGCCACATTGTTAGTAACCGGAAAGCCAAATCTTAATACATAGGTATACTCCACATCATATTCTTTCATGTTCTTGACTTCGGGATCAGTCGATGGCTTTGCCAATATGATCCCGGCTCCTCCCCCCTCATCGCAATGAGAGCCGTCAACGTATAGCCTCCAGACTCGAGGATTTATCTCGACAGGGGCAACAGAGTGATTCTTAGACTTTTCGACTTGAGGAACATTATCAGAACGTGGCATCTCGACTAGGAAGTCTGCAAACACTTGGTCTTTGACCACCGTTCGTGGCTTATATTCTATATGGTGCTCTCCCAACTCTACTGCCCACTTCATCATCCGACCAGAGGCTTCAGGCTTGAGAAGGACTTATTGAATAGGCTGCTTTGTCAATACTCGTATTGGGTGTGCTTGGAAGTACGGACGTAGGCGTCGAGCAGCCATAATCAAACTCAAGATAAGTTTCACCATGGGCGTTTATCGTGTCTCTGCACCTTGTAACACTTTGCTGACGAAGTAAATAGGAATCTCCTTGCCGTCCTTGTTTTGGACTTGGACAGCCGATATGGCCTTCTCTCGGGCAGCGAGGTATACATACAAGGTTTCCCAGGGTTCAGGCTTAGCCAATATGGGCAGCTGTTTAAGATGGTCCTTTAGCTCTTGGAAAGCTTTTTGGCATTCCTCGTTCCACTCAAAATTTCTGCCTTTGCGAAGTGTATGAAAGAATGGGAGGCTTCTTTCTGCGGATCGAGAGAGAAATCTGTTTAAGGCTGCCAGAGATCCTGTGAGTTTCTGAACTTCCTTGACATTCTTCGGGGCTTCCATGGCTAGGATCGCCTCAATTTTTGCCGGATCAACACTGATTCTATCCTTGGATACATGGTACCCATGGAA